TCATATTATCACAGGTATGTTAAAGGCACAAATTTAGCCACTGGGACATTTTATTAAAGCATACATGCATATATATAAGTGAATAAAGAATAACAAACATAATTAATATAATCATACAAAAGTATTGCCTATAAAAAATACATGGATAGTAACTATACTTGTCCCAGAAATAATTTAATAAAAAAAAGCAAGGTAATATTAAAGAAGGAAAGAAAAAGATATAAATATATCCTATAAAGTCTGTATTATTTTCATGCTCCAACAATATCTGCTATCAAATATCTCCTAGGATCAAGGTCTATCAGCAACACAAGTAACACAAATCACTTGATGCTTGCCAAGACCTGCGCTCTTCGACTAGTGTTCTGGAAGAGTGCTCTGATGAGTTGTTTTGATTCATCTGGAGTGAATTCATGTGCCAGAGGGCCTTTTCCATCAGACCATCTGTCTAAGATGTCGTGTAAGCTGGCTCCCAAGATGACAATGAGTTCGCAGAATTTCCCCCAGAGTCGAACATGCCTTATAACATCTCCTGGGTTAGTCTTGGCTTCACCTTCAACCTTTTAATGACAAAAGAAATTGAAAATGTTATTCTCTAATGATTTTCATATGATTGTAATAATTCATGTTTTGTTTTCTGTTTCTCTAATATATCATACATTATATAAAACAAATCACAACACAGATAACAATCATGGGTGAATACCACCACGAGTTGTGCAGGGAAATAATAAATCACTGACAGAACATATAAGTAATTAGTTGTGCAGAAAGGGACATGATGATTATACAGTTACAGTTAGAAGAATATTACAATGTAATGTATGAGTAGGGATTAGTATAAAAGCAAAACAGAGGTTATGATGAATTTGGGAAGAACAGGAGAGATGTAATCATATCTAAACAAAAAGTTTTAAAATATATATATAAATAATAATAATAATAATAATAATAATAATAATAATAATAATGGGTGAGGTAGAAGCAAAGAAAAAAATATAAATGCATATATTGTATATGCATTAGATCAAAAAATTAAATAAACAATGAGTTTGTAGTTGAAGAATGATTGTAAGAATAATTTAGGATGTACTTTTCCTCACCTCAACAGACTGTAACATGTGGTCAGCATGGTAAATACACACAAATCACAGTGAATAACAAGTGAAGGTTAAAAGAACCAGTTATACATTTCTTATACAGCCTAACCATCATTATTGCACAATAACAACCACAACAATACTAAAGCCATGACATTACCTGGAAGAGGGGAGGTATGTTGTCCTTAAGAAGGTTGAGGAGGTTGATGAGGGCAAGAGCTGAATCTGCAGATATATCTTCCAAACCCACCACTCTGATAACTACTTCTTCTACCACAGATCCTACTAGTGTGCCTGTCAAAGAGTTTCATCTTACTGTCTATTTGTTACTTAATTCAAGTAATCATCAACAAGAAAATTATTACAAATACATTCATAAGATGCAGATAATCAGTTCCAACTCAATTTTTTTTTAAACATCACTAATCAAAACCACCTGCTCTGATTAATTAATCAGTACAGGTTACCATAAACTTCATACTCATGGCTTTTGTGTAGACTGTATGAGGAAGAACATGTTGCCACACACGATGGAGTAACTGCAGCTGGTGTAAACACTGTCGCATGCCCTGCTCTGCTTTGTTCACGGCACTAGTGTCACATCCAATCATATCTAAGCCTGTTTTTGGGAGGCATTAATAATATTGTAGTAGCAACAATAATACTAATATAAGCATTATCATCATCAAATCATCACCATCATCTAACAACAACAATGATAGCAACAATAAAAAATCAAAACACTAATAATACTAATTATCATAATAAAATAAACAAAACAGACAATCAAAACAATAGTGTAATGAAATATTACAGAGAACTTATACATTTGATCCTAAGGCCATATGTTTAAAAACAGTTTGTGTTATTACACATGTGTTTATAATCTGATACAAAAGCCTGATAAAAGAAATTAGTGGAACAATGGTTAATGGTTCCAACAAATAAACGTGCTTAGCGTCAATAATGGGGAAAGAAGAGGGAATGGTACAGATGGAGAAATAGAGGATGGGGTGTTTGGGAGAGAGTTGGAGGAAGAGAGAGAGGGGGAACATGAGGAGGAGGAGGCCGGATGTCGGCAGTTACTTTGAATATAGAGCGCTTGGGAGTAGAGAGACTGGAAGGTGATACAGTAGGAGCATTTTCTTGGGTCATGTACAGGAAGTTTTGGATATTCTCAAGAGGGGAGGGGAATAGGGTGTAGATGACTGAGAAACAAAAGTTTTTCTTATGAGGAGTAGAAGAGCAGAAAGATGTCTGTGGAGCAGAGGAAGAGATGGATGTAGGAGAGATTGCAGTAAGAGAAGAAGGGATGGATCATTTAGATTGCCTGGTGTAACAGGTAAATTGAGCAGGAGAGGTACACACTGGATACCAAATGGTAAAAGAATTTGACTGGTAGACAGAGGGAGGAGAGGGAGGAGAGGGAGAAGATTCTGGGGGAGATGCTGAGACATCTTGGGAAGAGGGGAGAAGAAGGGAGAAGAAATGACTATACAAAATTGGTTGAGCAGCATGCTGAGGCCCAAGGTAGGGGTGATCCCTGACATATGGCCTCAGTTCCTATCAATAAAAACTTTGGTATGTGACTTACCTGCAGACTCTCTTAAGGTATCAATTATTGATGCACGATGCCACTGCATTGCTTTCAAGAATGTGGAAGTTGCCATTCTTCTGAGCTGTTGAGCAAGGTCAACTGTAGTAATGGTATTGTCTCGCAGGGCTTGTGGAAGTCTGTGCTTGTACTGATGTCCCAACAGGAGGGCATGATGTGCTAAGTACATGCTGTTGTTGTGTATGATTGCTGAGAACATACAAAAATAGAAATTACTAATCTTAGGGAAAGAGCTGTCACTGTAAAGAGTTTTTCAACAAATAAATTCTCTAACAATTGATATCATTTGTCCAATAACTTCCTTTTTCAGCCCTCATTTTGAAGCACAATGGGAAAGAAAAAATAATACTATAGTACTTTGCATCACATAGCCATTATATCTTTCATTGCTTAAGATATTAAAAAGTAAGATATTTTAGAACATACACAAAAATTTCAACAAACCACTTAAATGACTAGAAAATAGTGTAAATAAAAAAATAATAATAATAAAAGAAGATATATGCCATAGAAGTTTACTGAAATACAAAAGGTCACAGAACATTACATAAATAACAGCATAAATAATTGTCTGACATCAAAACTCACCTGCCTGTTGTGGTAAGGTAGCAAGGGCATGTGCATGGGCAGTTGGGACAACTTGGCAGTAGAGCATCAGGATGTTGCGCACAGTATAGAACAACCTCCCTGCATAGGGTGGAGCACTGGTACAAGCCTCTTCCATTGTCTCATATATTAGTTCAACAAGTTCACAGACAGAGGCACTGAAAATTGTGCAAAAACATTGATTATTTGGTAATACCAAGACCTGAGTCATGTTTCAATGAACGATAATGCTTTTAAGGATATGTCAGGTGAAAACATGCATCAATCCCAAAAAAAGCAGAAATCAGAGACTTTCTTTTCAACAAATTGTTCATCAATGCATACCTGATCTGACATTTTGGAAGGTTGAATGTCTTTGCTGCAAGAAGTTTCTCCAGCCTCATACTGCTCTTCTCTAATTTCTTACCAGTCTCATCCTATGATAGAAACATTACCAATTAATAGCCATAATTTGCAAACCCCTTCACATTGTGAAAGCATCTATCACAAAAATACTTCCTTGCTATTTATTCTTTTAGAACAGGTCAAATATATGAAAAGAATCACAATCAAATATATTTCCTAGATATGTAGAATACTGACAATGCAAACAATGAAGATGATAAATATTATGAAAACAAAAATATATAATAAATAAAATAAAATAAATAAACAAACAAATAAATAAATCAAGGTATATCGTACTTATTCTGGCACAAGTGGTTTGTGCATTCACTGGAGACAAAGTGCAGTGCAATAAAAATAAACATATGTATGTATTCAAAATTAATGTGCATACATATTTGAACTATGCCTCTTTCTTATCTCAGACAGACCATAGGTCTAGGTGATCACCATCAATACCAAAAACACATTAACATTCCCCTCACCCAAGTTTGATATTGTCCTTTCAGTTCCTTTATTAACCCAATGGCACCGGGTGTACAAAAGAAAAAAAAAACAGAATCACTGGCTCGCCGCGCTTTGGCGCGCCGCCGGCTCGTTTGGCTGCACGCCAGCTTTCGAGCTCTTTGTTTACACGCTGATCGGCGTCACCCGGCACCAAGGGGTTAAATCATCATTAATATTTGTGTATGTCATAAACAAACATGTTGGTGAAGAATATATTATAGCTAATGCCTAAAAATGAATGTCAAAATTAATGGTTTCTGCAGCTTTATGACCTGCTATAGATGCAATGATGCCATATCACAATAATCATAACTATTCAAAGTTCCACCATTCTCTAACACCACACATCTGAAAGAAATTTTGAGGTACCTGAATGAAACATCAATATTGGTTGGAGAGCAAAACAAAATAGTTACAGAATGAAAGTACTAGAAATTATAAGGACAGTGTGACATAGCAGTGGATAATGTGAAATGAATGAAAAGATAAATTTATTTCTTAAAGGAAAGTTACATTAGTACATACAGTATTTAGATTATGGTAATATATGGACACTTTGATTGTCTCTGAAAAACACTTGAGTTTGTGGTATTCTGAGCAAAATGAATTATCTAAACAGTGAAAATTAAAAGGATTGTAGGCATAACAGTATGCAAGCTGAAAAATTAAGACTACAAGATCAAATGATCTCAGGCACATATCTATTGTCCAACAGAACCAATAGCAGTTTGTAGTAAATGACATATTTCTTTTCCTGAAGAGAATGAATGATTGTACACTGATTGGACAGACCTACTGATACTGAAATTCCTAAACATAATTCCTATTAAATTCTTAATAGCTTCCTACTGCCTCTTTCACTGATGTAGCTTTTATGGAATTAGATCCCCTAATCAACAGAGAAAGAAGGGTGAATATCTTTTTGAGAAACTAAAATATTCTTAACCTTACACTTGTGGAAGCTCTTCCAGACATCAAAAATGTATCATGGAAAGATTTGGCAAAGGACCAGAATGACAAGAATGAAAAATTTGGCTGAAGGCTAGCTCAGGCCATGGGAATGACTCACCATAAGAGCACAAAGCTTCTAGAGAAAGATTATACTCAATGGATATTTAGAAAGGGAGGGCTATTGCATTATGGGGTAAACCAGTGTGGAATGTATCATCCATAGGCCATACTTAGAAGAGCACTGGCTTAACCCGTCACTGCTGGATCACATGTATAGCTGTCATAACAAACTACTTGATCTACTGGATATGGCTATATCCATGGCAACACGCTAGAAAGAATTAACCAGAAAGTTCCACTACATGTAGTGAACTCCTATGCCTGGACAGTTACCACAAATCACCGGAGTTTATGACGCTGAGAGATTTATAATACCATTACTGAGGGATTTGAAAGAACACTATTGCCATACTCAGGAACCTATTGCTATCCACCATGATCAGAGGTGCAGGGTATGTTTCAGAAATCTGAATACAAAAACATTTTGAATCATACAAATAACACAATGTTACTTATTGTTTTTGCATGGAGTTGTAGACTACCTAGCAATAATATGGAGTCTCATCAAGGAACAAAATCTTTTAACCATGATGATAAAGAATAACAAATGCCAAATATAGACCTTGGAAAATGCCAAAAAAGTAAAAACACTTTTACAGAAAAGAATAATAACATCTCAAAGAGGAAACAAAGAGTCTTGATACTGCATGAGTGCTCATGTGGGAAGGACCTACAAGCCAAGACTTGGGAGATTCAAATAAGGCCGGCATAAAGATTTGGACCACATGTGGGCTGTGAGGTATTGGGTCCAGTGGGTCAGTAGGTACTGTCACAGAACAACTGACAGAGACAAATAATAATCTGATATTATATATTAGCATTTTATTGAAGTATTTCCTTGCAAAAACTGCTTACTCTATGAATAAAAACAAAAGAAGCCCCAAGATAAACTATTGCTTTTATCGCTAAATATTGGTATATCAACTTATATAAAAAGTGGCTTTATGTAGTAAAAGTCAATAAATCAAGTATGTTGCAAGATGTTATCTACTTAACGAAATTTGTATAACAGGTGGTATGTTCCAGTTCTGCAATATGTGCATCAAATTACATGAAATACATGACTTATTGCTTTTCAGGATACTATAGACTGTAACTGAACTTACTCAGAAGAAAATCTTATTGAAACTTAACCCATACAATCCTAACCATCATGTCATGTGAGTGATGATATGGAATGTTTGAAAGGAAAGTAGTATATTACCATCTAGATAAATCATATGACAAATATGGACATAGGAAATTGACAAAAAAAACTATAAACACTTATGCATAAAAAGAGACAACAGCATTGCAAAGGGGAGGCATAGAATCTTGTCATTGCACATCGTGTGCCCAGCCTACAAGCCACGCATCCATCAGAGCGGCCACTTATGTAAGCCTAATGCCCGTATTTTGGACCATGTGATTGTCATGAAGCAACCGGAGCCAACGGGTTAAATCAAATTCCCACCCATACTCATTTCTAGGAAGATAAACTTTATATCATCCAACAAAGGATTTATTACAATCACTGCAATGTTATATTACCCCAAAGTTTTGAGAAATCTTTTTGCATTACAATAATCATGTAAGGCATAAGTGAACTCTGTAAGTGCTGTAAATTCAACATTCCTACCAATATATAATCCAACTTCAAACTCTAAATCCAATGGTAAAATTATTATAATTACAGTACAGTTAGAATCAAATATAATACATCAGAGCAAATGGATAATTAGAATTCACTGTTAGTATTCATTATAATATTTATTATGATAAAAAAAGAAGAAAAAGAAAAATCTCTTTTCAAAGTTAAAAATGGGTTGCTTTTCTGACCTTGTCAGGCATAATTTTTGTGAATGAAGATGGGAGTGGTCCCACTTCATTCACAAAGACTGTGGTCTAGACTTGTCCAGTTCAATTTTTAGATATTAATCTAGCTATCCAAAATTATGTATTTTTGGAAACATGAAAAAAATTCTTATGATTATGAAACAACATTTTTTCCTTCACTTAAGTGGAATGGGCAAGACAAAACCACTTTCTTTATTCAATGTTGGGAAGGGCACTCTTGAGCTTACGTGAGAAAGTTAATACAGTGTTAAAATGGCACATATTTCAAAATTCCCTATTATTCAACTTTTAACCAAAGAATGTTATCACACTAAAATATTATTAAAATTCAAAGTTCAAACTTTCACAAACCTAATCCTATGCCACCAGGAAAATGTAATAATCACTGAAGTTTTGTTTGGTGAATTGTCTGTACACGTAAATGGACCCACAAGCACTTAGTCACCAATTAGTAAATTAGTAGAAATTGTGACCTCATCTGACTTCATCTTTCCTCTTAATATTGATGCGGTTATTATTATTATGGAAATTATAATCATTAATAAAGTTATAAAAACAAACCTGATGTCACTCTGCCAATTCTTTTTTGGCAACAACCCAGACACTGGCTCGGCCCTGAACCTCATCATGAATGATGTCAGCCTGCCATCTTTGAGGCACTGCAGGTCCAGGGAGAGTCTAATGTACTATTTAAATAGTCTGAGGTCTCCCATGAAGGCTTTTATAAAATCAGAATGCTTTCTTTCATCTTCCCCACATAAGAAAGTCTTTTTCAAAAGTTTAAAATAAGCTTCAATTGCAATATATTCCAGCCTATCATTTCTACCCTTCTAAGAAAAAATATTCTAGAAAATAAATCAAATGTACCTGAATGATGATGGGTCCCTCAGGTTCCAGCGGGGTAACACTGACTGTGACGTGAACAGGCCGAGTCATGAGCTCTCTGGCCCGCTCCAACAAGTGTGCACAAGCCTTGTTACTGAAGACAACATCTACATTTGCTGCATACTCTATGATGGACTTGTTATCAGGTCCATAAAATCCTGAAGAAAATAGCAACATAATTAATATTTGGATTACTTTATATTTTGGTGCTTTCCAACCATCATCACTATAATCAGATATTTGCTTAGGAATGAAAAATGCAATTGGAGATGGGCTAATCCTTCTTTCTTAAGTATATACTGACAGCACCACCTACCAATTTCAATAAGGAAATCCTGGAATTTCTGAGTGTCACGCTTGACCTCCTCATAATCCTCCAGCTGGGCTCTACTACAAGGTACTGCCTCAGCCAAGCAGTCTTTAATAAGCACTTCTGTAAACTCCTGTCCCAGCTGTAGAGAAAGGAATCTCATAAACCATATAACTCTGGAAGAAGCTTCTAGTACAGTAGTTGTATATTTTACAAAATGAGCAATTATATGGTAAATGGCTTACAAAATGTCTAATAACTGAAATATATGATATATTTTCTCATTCATTTACCCTTCTAGTTTTGGATAAATTTGAATGATGCACAGATAGCAATGAAAATAATAATAAAAAATCGTAAATACTGTTTGATACAATATTTTTGTTCCAGCCAATTTCAATTACAGAAAAAAATTAATATCATTTGCATCAGATTTTGTAAACATAGAAAATCTCAAATCCTGCATGTTTACTGTACCTATAAAATATATGATGGTTACAAATATAGCAAATCTTACCTGTTTACCCAGAAGCTGCATAAGTGAAATTTCACCCTCATCTGCCTGAATGTTTACACACAAGAGTGCACTATGAAGGATCCGTAATACCTAAGGGTGTTAATACAATTTTAAAAATCAATATATACTTCTGTTACACAGACTTTTAACTTATATCCTATAACATATCTTTACAACTAAGAAATTAAGTATCAAAACACATTTTCACTTTAGCCAGGATAAAAAATATATTTTGTATGTATCCTCTTCAATAAAACTAAAGCCAGTAACTGTGCATTTTATAGTCCCAACTACACAATATTGTTCAAGCACTGGGAGCAAATTAACTGCACCTTTGCCTTATGCCTTTAAATTACAGGTCAGTGTTGTTATACCAATATACAACTGGACAGCAGTAAGCTATACTGTTAATCTGGACAAGCTGAAGCTAATATGGAAATTCAGCAGTGCCCCAAAGATTCTATACAGGTCTAAAATATATATTCCACTGCAAATGTTTTTTTTTTCAATTTTGATAACTAATCAAAACTTCTCCATGCAATAGCACTGCTAATAACACATGATGCAAAAACAATTTCAAAACTTTTCTTAACTCAAAGATTGTCTGTCAGTATAAAATATTTAGGCATTATAGAGAACCACTTTTTGACATTTTGAACTAAACTTTTGTGAAAGAAAATAACAAACCTGAGTGAGATGAACAAACACTGTGGATGCAGGTGCCTTTTCCTTAGTGTTTGCAGGTAATGTGACCTGGACAGAATATCCATCACTTCGATCAGTGGCTTTCACCTTAGCTGCATCATTTATTATAGGCCTGATAATTCATAAAATGTGTTAGTGTCATAAACTACACTATACTAATATAGCAGAACCTTGATACAAAATACTACCTAATTGTATTTCTTTAATAACTATTTTGAAAAGTTTAATGAATGATATGGACTAGTTGATTCTATATATGGGGAACATGGCTGCCACACCCAGTTAGTGTAATAGCAGTATAGCAAATACACTTAGATATTATTCCCATTGAAATCCATGGAAGGGTGTTGACTCTTTCTTGCTAAACAATTTTATATAATTTGTAACTGCATAAAGGAAAGGCTGACTTTCTTATAATAACAAAGACCAGTTGTCTTTTAAAAGGGTAAGGGTTCCTCTTATGGGCATCACATTTCAAAAAGCACAAGCATACCTAATAGAGGTGAAGCATATTAGTTTCTGAAAATACATATTTCTATAAAATAAGAAATTTAAACAAGATCAGTAAACATCGTACTTGAAAATGTGATTCATGAGATTCTTGCCGAGGGCTGTGACACGACGCTGGAGTTCTCCCAACATGTGCAATGCACCCAACATTTGCTGGAGTTTATGTAACCCATCCTCTTTGGACTCAAATTTCACTGCTTGCACTACCAAAGTGACTGATCTGGAACCATCTCCCAGACGCTCCTCTTCCCAGGTCACGGTTTCACTCCAGACCTGCCATGAAAGGAAATGCATCCATTCTATTGCTATTACATAAAAAGGTAAAATGCATAAAAAATGCCAATTCAAGTAAAAATGAGTCTTTTCCATTAAAGTCATTTTGATTAATCTTAACAAGTTATATCAACTTCACAAATACACAAGTTCTAATAAAGAAGGAGTAAGAGAAAGAAAAAAAATCTTTTCTCTCCAATTCTACAAAATTTGATTCAAACCTTTTTCATGGTCAACCCACTTACATCACTTGCAAGCCCTTTAGTCAATTCAAAAAAGGATCATAGTCTTACCTCACCAATGGTATAAACCAACTGTGTCCTTCTGACCAGCATATCCTCCTGTAGACTACTTAGAAGGTCAAGTTGACCCTCTACATCCTTCTCAGATGCATCCTCAAGGAGTTTCTCAACCTTTCAAACAGATGAGAATATTAAGAATTACTTGAACTTTACATTTGGTTATTTAAACCAATTCACTACATTAGCACAGGTGTAATAAATATTATGACATTCTAACATATGCAGCACTGTATATATGGGTATTCTATGTTACTTCATGTTTAATATCTCTTAATGGACAGCACTGATAGCAATTCTGAGACTGTACAGATAACAAATCTAAAATCTATGGTAAAACGCAACTATAAGACAATAAACAATGGTTTGAGAAAGAAATTATATGGTATAGAAAATAATAATTATTCAAATATATTTAAATTATTATATATACAGGCATTTTGTTTTTCCTGATAAAATAAAATCAACCCATAATTAATATCAGTCAGCTTCTCTTTTAAAAAAATAATGCTCATAAAATCTAAAAGACAAAACATACCTTTGCTAAATTTTCAGCAGTTTTCAAGAATTCATACTCCAATTCAGCCTGGTGAGCCTCATCAAGGAGTGTGTGTATGGTCAAGAGAGTGGAGGCAGCTTCCAAGCCGCCAACCACCTCCCTCCATCTCCTCACCACACCCCCAACCTCACCTACACTGCCTTCTAAACCATACACCACCTATAATCAGGAAAGTAAGGTGCATAAGTATTTGATGCTGATAATCTATCAAACTACTAATTCTAATCCTTTTAGGGTTATATCAGCTTATTTGTTAAAAAAAGAAAATCCCTTCTTTACTGAAAGGCAAAGATGTAAGCTTGGTCTTGAAAGCACTGTTTATGGAAATACCTGAAAGTTAGCTTCTGTTGCTATTACTGATATGGAAGATATTTATTGTAGTAGTTTTAACTTAACAAAGACAATGTAATTATTCAAATTAGATTTATAACAGAAATTCCTTTGCAACCTCTGGTAATTTATCATCACCTCCTGCTCAATAGAGTTGTGCAGACTTGTAAGATCCTCCAAAGCATTTGCAACACGATGATGCAGATGTGCAGTGTCATGAACAACCATTGCCAAAGAGTCATATCGTGATCCAAGTGTCTGGCATACTGCTTCACGTGCCTCTTCTGCACGTTTTACTAACTCCTCCAGCTGACCTGTTCCAGGCTTCCCTGCCTTCTCACCACTTTTGCTTCCTGGCAAAATTAATTTCATTTTTGTAAATCAAGAAAAAGAATATAAAATCTTTATCAAACTGCATAAAATTAAGCAGAATAAATATGTATTTGACACTATAAAGAGATTTGAAAGAAATTAGCCCAAACTAAAAGAATTCACAAAGATACTTACTAACTGATGCTATTACATCAGCAACCAGAGACATCTTGCTTGGTTCTTATTCTGAAAAAAATAATAATAAATAAAATAAAATAAAAAGAATATACTATCATGTCTCTTTCATCAACATATCATTATAACACTAAAATATTCATAAAAGACTAATATCATCTCTGCTACTGGAAAAATTTCCTATCAGTGTCAAATAAAGTCCAATAATACATAACAGAAAATAAGAACAACACCAATAACTGCAACAATAATGATAATGATAATAATGATAATGACAATAACAACAATGATGATCAAAATGATAATGACAGTAACAACAGTAATAATGATAATAACAAAAACTATATAATAATAATAATAACAATAACAGCAGTAATATTACTAGTAACACTGTAGTAAAAACTCAATCATCATCACAGTTATAATAATAACAATAACAACAACAACAACAACAACAACAACAACAACAACAACAACAACAATAACAACAATAATAATAATAACAATAATAATAATAACAATAATAAAAATAATAAAAATAATAATAAAAATAATAAAAATAATAACAATAAAATAATAATAATAAAATAATAATAAAATAATAATAAAATAATAATAATAATAATAATAATAATAATAATAATAATAATAATAATAATAATAATAATAATAATAATAATAATAATAATAATAATAACAATAATAATGACTGATGATGATTAATGATGTGATGATGATGATGATGGTGATATTGATGACAATGACAATGACAATGACGATGATGATAGTTAATGGTTAACCCATTGCCGACAGGCATGCCATGCCATGCCCACTGTGAGATTACTTGTTTGATTGTTTTTACACACAGAATTTGAGAGTTGCCACCTCAGACTCAGTTGGCACACGTGTGACTGTGCAGAGCAGGTTGATCGAGTATAATCAGGTTGAGCACATAGAGGGCATCTGGATGTGGATCGGCAATGTTTGGCAGGATGTCCTAAACATCAACAATTTTCGCACTGATGGAGAGGTTGATATGGTCAGGGAGGGATTCTCCACCAATGTAAAATTAAAGGGAAGGTCATGTCTATGGAAAGTAATTCTGACCAATATTTGTTATAGATAGGGCAGTTTGCTGGGGAGATAGAGACAGTTCTGGTGCAAGTATTCAGGGTTGGATGAGGTTCTGTAGGAATGGGGTTACCAGAGAGATCAGTTAGAGTTGATATGCTATAGCTTGGTTTTCAGATGTTACTGTGATGAGATGGGAACCATCAGGTCAGCTACAGAAAGAGACTTTGCCTATTTGCTGGAAGAGAAGTGTGTTGTCAGAGTGGGGAGCTGTGGGAGGGATCACGAAAAATCAGTCCCATTTGACTGGGCTTAATAGAGTATTTAAGATATTTACAGAGATGGGGATATTAGAAGGACAGGGGCATGTAGAAGAGGGAGTAATGTTGAGAGAGGTAGTATTATGGAGAGGTGGACAATAAGGCTGTAAAGTAGTAAGGGAGTACAGATAGTCCCCTACTTAAGAACATTCTACTTATAAACATTCCATACATACAAACAAAATTTTTTGAGCACTAAAGTCCAAAAAACTGTTTGAAAAATGCTAGCAAACTTCAAATTTCCCAGGCACGAATATAGTTCAAGAGTCTGGTACTGTATAAGGTATGTCATACTTATTGGGATTTATTTACAGGTTTTCTTAATGTAAACAAAACTTTAAAACAATGGGAAAAAAGGTAATGGAGACCCGACTTTTGACATACAAACAAATCAACTTACAAACAGCCACTCGGTCCCCATTATGTTCTTAAGTTGGGGACTTACTGTATAGGGTAGTTGATGAAGAAGGTTGTGTAGGTAGTGGTGATGAAGTTCAGCGTGTTGGGAGAGTAGGAATGTCTCATGGAGATTGAGTGTTGACTTGGATGGATAATGTACAAGTAGGCATTGAGGAGGGGGTAATAGTTGTAGTGTTCGGGAGCTGTGGTCAAAGGAGAGTCTGGGGTCGGGGAATTGGGAGAATTTGAATTAATAAAGGGACAAGCCTCATTGCCCCTATTAAGGGTATAACATCTTCATTATTGGCCATGGTAAGCCTGGAGTATGTTGGGAAGAGAAACAGTCTACCCCTCAGGGTCCCCTTGAGAGGTAAGGGCTAAACAAATAAAACAGGGGAATACCATGCCCATGGCACCCTTAGGCCATTCAGGACTGGCACAAAGTCAGCCCTTCATCCTTTCAGCATGGCTCTAACACCTTAGGAAATTGGATAGTAAAAGGGTAAGGGACAGAAACAAAAAAGCAGGACGGGAGAAAAGGCCAGGCAAAATTACTTGAGTCGAGGGTTGAGTCCCAAGGCAGGGGAGTTCCCCATCATTGGATCCTAGTCTTCACCTCCAAAGCCCCCCCATGACTACAGCAGGCATGGGATTGGAGGTAATAATAATAATAATAATAATAATAATAATAATAATAATAATAACAACAACAATAACAATAATAATAACAGCAATAATAATAATAATAATAATAATAATAATAATAATAACAATAACAATAATAATAATAATAATAATAATAACAACCACAACAACCACAACCACAACAACAACAACAACAACAACAACAACAAAAACAAAAACAATAATAATAATAATAATAATAATAATAATAATAATAATAATAATAATAATAATAATAATAATAACTATCATTATCATTATCATTATCATTATCATTATTATTATTACTATCATAATAATAATAATAATAATTATAATAATAATAATAATAATAATAATTATAATAACAACAGTAATAAAACAGAAATAATAATAGCAAAAACAATAATAAGAACAATAACAATAATAAGAACAATAACAATAATAACAATAACAATAACAATAACAATAATAATAATAATAACAATAACAATAACTGTAATAATAATAATTAAACAAATAAACAAAAATAAAATTCCTTATCATTATCATCATACTACACTTCTGCTTGTCTTTCATTCGTCTACTTGCTTGTTACTCTTACATTTTGTGCCTGTAATCATATTCCATGAGGCTGTGGACTTGAGGAGGTAAGGAGATAAGGGAGCAAAGGAGGTGGAGGAATTTAAGGAGGAACAATAGGAAAGCAGGAGAGGCAGATGCGGTGCTTAAAGTAAGAGGGGAGGACTGTGTTTAAGAAAGACTTGGGAGTGATAGGAGGTGGCAGAGCAGGAAAGGAAAAGGAGAGGGAGAGGGAAAGGAAAAGGGAGAGAGGCGGCAATAATTAGGAGGAGGAGGGTGAGAGAGGGAGAGAGTACTTCCCCCCCCCTCCTCTTTACAGAATTTCCAGGGATCCTATTAGTAATTATAATGATGAAAAAAATTATAATAACAATAGTCTAATAATAATAAAAAAATAATAATAAGTAAATAAATAAATAAATAAATAAATAATAATATGAATAAAAAATAATAATAAAATAATAACAATAACAATAACAATAACAATAACAATAACAATAACAATAACAATAACAATAACAATAACAATAACAATAATAATAATAATAATAATAATAATAATAATAATAATAATAATAATAATAATAATAATAATAATAATAATAATAACAATAATAATAATAATAATAATAATAATAACAACAATAACAATAACAATAACAATAACAATAATAATAATAATAATAATAATAATAATAATAATAATAATAATAATGATGATGATGATAACAATAACAACAATGATGAACCTTGCAATTTACTATTTTGAGCAAGTTTGCACAACAAAAAGAGGTGTAGAATATATTTTCAAGTTAAAAATAAAAAGGAAAAACTGAAAATCATAGAATATATACAAAGGCTCGCATAAGATAAGTCAATTGGCTACTGGATAACCTGATCATGGCTTAGTTAATTAAAGTGACATATTTTACATTAAAATATATCAAAACTACTTCTACTACTGTTTTATGTCAACACTTAAAACTAAATTTTAACAAAACATTAAACAATCATAATACCCTGTATTTTTTAATATAATAAAAGGTAAACATATGTATTTTATTTGAATAAGTTACATTGCAAAATACATACTGTGACCTTCTTATACAAGATTTGTATTAACCCATTGCCGCCGGGGAAAATTAACAAAAAATGGGGAAAATGCTGTGCCTATTTTCTATACTTTTTTGTTAAATGTCTGCCCATAGATGGCTCTGTTAGCACCTGATTTGAAACACGTATTTTTCACTAGTGCCATGAATATCGATGGTGTTATTTTTATCATAAACATTGTAATTTTTATAATGTTTTTTAACATTAGTAACAGCAAAATAAGATACCGTAAAATATTTCATAAATCAAAGAAAAGGGTGAACGGGCGAGACAGGCGGTACTCGTAACTGGCTCATTGGTGATTTAGTACAAGTGTAGCCATCTATGTGTGAAAACAATCTAACAAGTAATCTCACAGTGGCCATGGCATGGCATGCCCGGCGGGAATGGGTTAAGAAGAAAGAAAGAAAGAAAGAAAAGTAAGGTAGTCAGTCTCAGTCTCTAATGGTGCACATTCTCCTTACATCATATTGGAATGGCTTCAAAGATAGGCCATTAGTGAAACCCATCAGTTTCTAATCCCAATGGTACATGTTGTGTTATAGAAAATTTAATATTACCAAAAAATAAAAATAAAACAATTACACAAAACTAAATGTTGCTTATTGTTACTATTATTCCACTAAGTTATGGCCTACCTAGAGAGACGATATGAATTCTGTAAAAGGAAAACAATCTATTACCATCTGGATAAAGCAAATCAAACAACAAATATAAACATAAAATGGCAAAAAGCTAAAAATGTTTATGCAGAAAAAAAGAAAATAACATTGCAAAGGAGACACAGAGTTTTGTCACCACACACAAGTATTTGTGTGCGCCCCACCTACAAGCGGCACACCCGTCAGGGTGGCTGCTCAAGTAAGCCTAATGCCTGTATATTGGACCAAGTGATGGCAGTGAAGCAGCCAGAGCCAATGGCTTTATATGCATTAATTTTTGGTTAACTATTTCTATATTATGTCAACTCAGAACACATTATCATTGTGTTAATGTTATTACTATCATTATCTATTAGCAAAAAAAAAACTATTTTCAAGTAGGGTAACTGTTTATTAACCCAACTGCTCCAGATTTATATTCTGTCCCCTGTAGTTTTTAGTGAATTTTGTTATATACAGCCCCTAGGAACTGATCCTGATTTCCCCATTCCTTGATTTGACGGGAAAATGTAAATTTCTTTTTTAAACAGTTGATATTGCTATTGTTATTATTATTACTGATGATATGATTATCAAATTGTTATTAAAATCTCAATAACATTTAAGACAATGAAATAATGCAAAAGACCCATCCCAAAAGTCGAGGAAAAGGGTAAACAGGTAAGATAGGTATGATTAATAACTGACTCCTTGGTAACTAAGCACTTGTAGAGCCATCTATGTGTAAATACAATAAATAAACTTGTATTACAATAGGATATGGCATGTATTCTTGTCATACATACCTATTGGGGTAAATGAGTCCCTGACTCCAGCCAACAAGTTTGGGGGAACTCCTTGGAATTCAGAAACAATTATATGAAAAACCTTCCTGACCTAGAGGCTTTGCCCAGGAGCATTAAGAGCCAGGGTCAAGGCCCTATACAATTACATGTTTTCTTCCCAAAGAAAATATGTTTGTTTGCAATATGTGGGCCTTGATGTTGGAAATGAACTTCATTCATTTTGAAATCAATTTTTGGGGTTTTCTTAACTATCTATGATGGGTGTCATCGATTGAAAAACAATCTATTTCCTGGCTGTAGCTATAGCAGTAACTGCGTGTTGCTGAGGAAGTATTCATGTCATGTGCATGTAAGCCTGCTGTAAGCTGTATAGAAATGTGAACAAATGTGCACTTGTTTGGCCCTGGCTGCATTCACTGAGGTGAAATAGCACCTCAAACTCAGGCTTAAATCCTCTTTTTAGCCTCATTACCAAGAACAAACATAATCATATGTTACAGGTGCTTCTGAGTTTATATAGGGTTTCTACACAGTTAAGTTGTTTATAGCAAGGCAAAGTTAGGTTGGACTTGGTCTCTGTGAAGATTATTTCATATATAAGTGAGTGAGGTATTTTGAGACTGAGACTGGATGGGGATTAACCTCTAATTAGGAAGGTTCATATATTAAATGAAAGAAAATAATGATATGTGTTTCATAATGTCATTTAGAGTAATTTATATTCAAAGATACAGTTATCAATAATTATATGTTATAAATAATTAATTAACTGTAATGGTTATTTCTCAAATCCCCATCCTTTTATAACTCCTGTGGACAGCCCAGTACTACACAGTGTGGCCAAAAAAGTACTGCATAATTACTTTAACCCAATGGCGCCGAGTGTACAAAACAAAAAAAAAACTCTACGCTTAAACAAACAAAGGCAGCACGCCGACTTTGAGCGCGTGAGTAGGGGACATCAGCCCGAATCACTGGCTCACCGCGCTTTGGCGCGCCGCCGGCTCATTTGGCTGCACGCCAGCTTTCGAGCTCTTTGTTTACACGCCAATCGGTGTCACCCGGCAGCAAGGGGTTAAACAAATAATATATAGTTATTGTCATTGAACAATATGAATGGCTTTATATTTGCATAATGATCATGAAAATATCAAACAGATTATTTTTGGCATTCTACCTTATCAATCCCTAGCCTATGTATTGATGACTATTTGCTGGCCTTTGATATAGTAGTCATGGTGACCAGCCCATAGGCTAGTAGCATACTCTACTAGAACATCAATAAATGCAAGTTCAAATCACACTTTCCTGAATAATCATAATTTCTAAAAGGAAGGTTAGTGTTTTTAATATATATAAATAACAACATTTGACATGATATACTCTGAAAACAATTGGCAATATAAATGATATAGCTTCAGTTTCACACAGCTATATGGTACAAAGTAAAAGATAAAAACTAAAATCCTTTTCATCTTCAGCAAGTTAATAATTTAAAAAAAGGTCTGTAACTCGTAACACTTTTGTATCCATTTACAAAGTGACTGCTTTAAGACAGAGGAAACCTAACGACACAAAAGAAGAAAATAGCCTGCGACAAATGCTGCCTAGACAGTAATTCTATGGCAATCAGGTATGGAACAAGGGGCAGAACCCAGCCTAGGGAGATCGCAATCAGGTGGGAATCCAGGAGGAGAGCCCCTGAATTTGATAGACTTTCGGTTTATGTAGCGATGCTTGTGGATTCTCGGGAATGACTGTAGTAATAAGGACTGTCTCGGAGAAGTGTTGTCACTTCACAAACAATTACCTTTTTTTTTTTATTTACATTGTTTACAATGGAAAATATGGGATTCACACATGAAACATCCTGAATAATTGAAAAAAATAAATAAATGCAAGGTTGGATGACTGCTTGAAACTTAAACATTACCGAAATCTCAGGCAAGAAAAGAAAAGAAAAGAAAATTCCCCCGCGAGCGACACAGGCCTCGCCCTCAGCCTCATGTGGGCGTGTGACAGGCCGCCCGCTCTCGCCCTACACTTCAACTGAGGCCGGAAAAGGTGTAAAAAATCACATCGACGTTTTCCAAAAACATATTTATGACTTACTATAAAATATATTTGCTGGAAAGGTAAGCGAATAGACCCAAATCAAATTTTATTTACATGGTTTCAAATGTTATCCTAACGAACTACCACGCATTCTACCATCTGTCCTCAATTACCAGCATCACTTAATCTACGACAACCATTATAAATATGCTCTACAACACAAGCTATTACTCTCACACCCTCCTCGACCCACAATTAATACCTACAAGAGTCCAAATAACATCAAAATATCACCCCTGATCCGGACGCGCCGATCAGCTGTTCCGCCAAAACAAA